CATTACAAATATTGGAACTCCAGTTAATGTAGAAGCATTTATCCAGATGATGTTCCGAATTCGTGATTGTGAAAAGCGTATACTTTCTCTTTATTATCAAAAAATTTCCAGTGAATTTTCTCGTTCACCAGGTCATGAAAATATTCGGGCAGAACTTGCAGTTGCCTGGCCTAATGATTTGCCTACAGCAATTAAAGGACATCGTGAATGGGATATAGATAGCATTTCCTATAAACTTGATCAATCTCCCGCTGTAACATCATTTATTGAAGTTGAGCACCAAAAACGTCTTTCAACCAGAAATTTTATCGAGATTTCATGTAGCCTTATTGCCAGTACTGGAGCAAGTCTTAAATTAATAAAAATAGATGAAAATAAAGAAATTATAGGGAATCGTAAAAAAGTTCGTAATGAGATTAAGGCTGAAGCTTTAGTTATCAAGGATACAGATTTTGATGCAGTCGCCACTTCTCGAAATCTTACTCCTGAGGAAGCTGAATTTCTTAAACTCGATTCAGAACATTCAGTTGCAGATACCATGGCACTTAAGCGTTTTTATATGTGGAATCTTTATGGTGGAAATGATATGAGCGTCGAGGATTGGAATAAACTCTGCGATAAAAATTTTGTAGAGTGTTTTAGCCCACCTGAACCTAGAAAACATTTCTTGCGTTTATCTCATTTTTATAAGCAAGGTTATGATGAAGATAGTGCAATAGAAGAATTAAAGGCCAAAGATATCGCACAATGGGAAAATACATGTTATAATGCTAAAGATAATTTTGAGGATTCAATAACAAAAGATTTACGCAAAACATATTCAGCGAATCATTGGGAAGCTGTACGAGGGCTTTTACAGTCACTTGGTTTCACAGGTATTGATGATAAGCGCATTCTCCCTGACGATCAGATAAAAGTTGCATTTGAGGCATCTCGTGAAAAATTTGTAGAAATTCGAAGTCAATCTTTATTACTCTTTGGATTTAAATCTCGCGCAAAAGAAACACCGAATCTTAAATCGGCTATAAAGGCAATTAATGCAATTGTTGGTAATTGGTGTGATTATACTATAAAAAGTGAACGAAAATTGGTAGGACCTAAAGAAAAAAGAATTTGGAAATATTCTTATCAAATTAATCGAAAGCCATATAATGGTCGTGGTTTTAATAATCAAGAAGAAGTAATGGCTAAAAGGTTAGATAATCCTAAATATTGCCCTATAAATCCAGTTCTTCCATCGTATAAGTCAAAGATAAATGACGAGATTCAGGATCTTTTCGATTCTATACCTATTACTAATAACACTGCTTCAGATTATAATTATGTAGGCTCGAAGAGCCATTGCCTTGCAATAGAGCATAAAGTTTTTAATTCATCTAGTAATACGATTGATGAAAAAACTTTATCTTTAGAAACGTCAGCCCATAATCAATCCGCTGGTCTTTTCCGAGATAGATGCCATGTTGATACTACTATTAGTGAAGCTAGTATAGTTGAGAAAAAAATACCCGAATCCTTAACCCCTCTATCTTCAGAATTTCTCATTAAAAATAAATCTGATATAGATACTCTTATCCTTCTTTTACAGCAACAATTCCAAATGTCTCAGGAAAGGTTAGAACAATGGCGAACCAAGATTGCTTTCGAGATGCAGGATAATCAAAATTACTGGAAAAAAGAGCGCGAGAGTATGAGTGAAGCTGACTTCTTAGAACATAAGCGAAATTTTGAGACTAAGATGGGCGTACCTACTACTCCGCACAAAAAAGAATTAAAAAATAAATCTTTAGCAATTATTGAATATGCGTAACTGTTGTTCAAGATAATACAATCTAGTTGAGTAGTAATTTTCGGAGCAGAGAGATTGCTACATTCAGCTAGTTATATATCCGGGTAAAGGGATTTTTGTCACCTTTTACAATAAGTATAAGAAAAAATTCAAATAAAAAATTAATGCTTTGATACCTACACCATATAAAGGGATTTTTGTGTCGTGTAATTTTGAGCAAGAGTTTGTTTGTTGAAACTTCAGGTAAGTTTTAGATACTTTGCATCTATATATACGATATATATGAGTCAGAGACTCGAAGCTCAGCTTCCTCGATAACCATTTTTGTGTCACATAATTTTGCAATGAGGCTCCGCCCCTATCAGACTCAAACTTTATATATCATCAAACGGATATTGAAAAAGTGATACGCAAAAGTAAAAAAAAAATTGAGCTTTTAGGTATCATTAGGTAGATATCAGCGGAGCTGGCATAAAGTGCTAAAAAGGTGATACGCAAAGGTTATCAAAAAGTGATATACAAAGGTTACAAAAATTGAGCTTTACATATCATTAGGTAGATATAGTGGAGCTGGCATAAGTGCCAAAAAAGCAATATGTAAAGGTAATATACAAAGATCACAAAAAATTGAGCTTTAATATATCATTAGGTAGATATCAAAAAGTGATACATAAAGGTTATCAAAATATAATGCACATGTGATATATAGTAGTGCGATCCAATTTTTTGACAATTTCGGTGATACGTAAAGGTAGAATATTATAAGGAAAGGGGTAAGAAAAATTGTGCTTTTATGTATCACTAAAAAAAAGAGTTAGATAACAGAGTTCAGATATCAAAAAAAAGTGATACGCAAAAGCAGAATATTATAAGGAAAGAGATAAGATAAATTTTTGCTTTTACGTATCACCAAATAAGGATAACAATTCGGCACTACATGCCTCATCATCGGATGCTTTGATGTTATTACCAGATATGTTAACAATTCGGCACTATGTGCCTCATCCTTGATTGATACTCGAGTGCATTATAATTGTTAGCAATTCGGCACTATGTGCCTCATCATCGGATGTTTTGGTGCATTACCAGATATGTTAACAATTCGGCACTACGTGCTTCATCATCGGATGCTTTGGCGTATTACAAGATATGTTAACAATTCGGCACTGCGTGCCTCATTATCGGGTGATATTCGAATGAATTATAACAGTTAGCAATTCGGCACTACGTGCCTCATCATCGGGTGATATTCGAGTGCAATATAATGGATAACATTCGGCACTACGTGCCTCATCCTCGATCGATATTTGAGTGCATCATACAAAGCTAGAATACGAATACTATTTTGGCACTACGTGCCTCAAACCTGGCTCTCATCAAGAAATTAACCAGAAAGCTAAGGCACTACGTACCAAGTTTGGACATAGCCCTCACGTCGGGCCCATAAATGATGATATATAATTGGATGCATCGTCAGATATATTTTTTTATCCATGTAAGCCAACGATGGAAATCAGATATGGTTGCCAAACTAGCATACAATAGTTGGCATGTGGCCTAACGACAAAAATTAGCCACAGCTGTCATTCGAGTGACACGCCAAATGCGATTTGCACCTATTCTCAGCACATGCCTTAGTGGCTCTTGAATGGCAATACAAACACAACCTACATATCGTCAAACTATTAAAAGGAAGCAAATATCAAGCTTATTAGAGGTCAAAATGGGTAGTTATAGAATAAGTAGGTAACAGTATACCTATAAGTAGGTAACAGTATAACGTAAGTAGAAAACAATATATATATATTGTTTTCTACTTTTTTTTTTTTCAAAAAAATTTTTTTTTTTAAGATAAATATGTATCTAGTGACTTGAACCGGGTACCCAAACCCTTAACCGATTAACCGAACTGGTTCCAACCGAGTCCAACCGGTTCAACCGGTCAACCGAATTAAGTATTCATCAATCGAAAAATAAAATGGTTGTATAGATCATCATTATTACGCAATTATTTATTTGAAGCAATGACTATTTTTTTTTCTTTTTGTGCCCTTGTGGCACCTGCTATATCAAGTAAACAAAAAAGCTATTCTTCCGTTTGATTATGCTTTTTTTTGCTTATACAGATAAGAACTAGGAAACATATTGATAAAGTTGTCATTTCTTTTTAAAAATAACATTCGTGAAACTAATTTTGGTTTTAAATTGGAGTGTCGTGGAGTAATGTGATTGCCGGCATCTGAAAAAAAATGTTCACTGGGAACAGAGGTAGCAGGAATGTCAAGATATTTTCATGCCAACTTTGAAAAGATTGGAAATTGAGTTTGTTGTTGCCGCCATCACAAAAGAGGATCAGAATTACGAAGAGCCACAGGTGTTCGTCTAAAATTAAGGTAAAAATAAAATGGTTGTACAGATCATCATTATTACGCAATTATTTATTTGAAGCAATGGCTATTTTTTTTTCTTTTTGTGCCCTTGTGGCACCCGCTATATCGAGTGAACAAAAAAGCTATTCTCCCGTTTGATTATGCTTTTTTTTGCTTATACAGGTGAGAACTAGGAAACATGATAAAGTTGTCATTTATTTTTAGAAATAACATTCGAGAAACTAATCTTGGTTTTAAATTGGAGCGTCATAGAGTAATGTGATTGCCGGCATCTGAAAAAAGACACTCACTGGGAACAGAGGTAGCAGGAATGCCAAGATATTTTCGTGCCAACTTTGAAAGGATTGGAAATTGAGTTTGTTGTTGCCGCCCCACAAAAGAGGATCAGAATTACGAAGAGCCACAGGTGTTCATCTAAAATCAAGGTAATAATCTAATTCATCCAAAGAACTTGATCTTTGAGTCCCAAATATAACATTTGCAAACATGTTATTAAAAGAGTGGGTGGTTGAGTTGGATGAAGTGGTATGTTCTTCAGTTGATGGTTGTATCAATTGGTGAAGTTGTTTCCGACATTCACGAATGGTATCATTACGAATCTCGTCACTTGCAAAGCTCATTTTTTTCAATTGAGGATTCAACAATATAGTAAGAAGGCAAATTTTTAATGGATGATCCCAATATTCAAATAGTGAGTTGTAAATAATTGTTTGTATTTCTTTTATAATTGACTCGGGATCACTTTCTAATTGGTTTTCTTGATTGTCAAGAGATTGTGTATTAGGTTGGGACTCAGTGGCAACGACCAGTTCATTTTCAGATGAATCTTCGGATTCCGAATCAAAATTGGATACTTCTTGAAAATTTTAATATAATTAAATATTAAGATAAATAAATAAATAAACAAATTAATAAAGAATTTACTGTACCTTCATTTTCATAACCATTCTCATCAAAATTTGTACTTTGTGCATAATGAAATTTCATTGCTTCCATTAAAGGATGGATAAATGCTATGGTAGAATATCATCCAGCACTGAAATATTCAGTAGCACTATCAAAAGGTTCTAATATCTCAAGTAATCTTTGAACAAAACTCTACTCTTCTTCTCGTAATACCAATTGTTGCAATTTTCGTCCATCTTTTTGTGCATCTGGATCATCTCGAAATGGTAATGTTGCCGAAAGCCATCTGATTGCAGGTTGTAGTTGAATTAATCTCTTCCATGATCGATATTTAAAATTCCAATGGGTTGGAACATCTTTGATATTTTTTAATATAAAAATAAATTTATCAATAGGATAATTAGTTGTCATCTCATTTTCCATGTCTTCTGAATCACCATCATAATCAGAATTATCAGATAAAATTGGATCATATGAAGGTACGTTATTTTGTCATTTTTGCTTAGATATTTCAATTTGTGCAGCATCCAACCTTTGGCTTTATTTGAGTAAGTCAAAAAACTTAATCAATTTCCGAATTCGATAAATTTGTTGGTAATTTTTCTTTAGGGTATGGTTGACAGATAATTGCAAGGTATGTGCAATACATGGTAATCTTTCTATGCCATCCCAATCTCTTATGGCAGCTACCATATTGCTACCATTATTCGTAACAACACACAAAATTTTATCTTGTAGATTGAAATCTTGAACTTTTTGAATAAGAAATTCTCTGATTACCTGACTGGTATAAGGATATGGCATCGGCTCCAAGCAAAGTAAGATTTCATTTAATTCAAATTCTTTACTCAATCAATATGCTGTGATTCCAATATATCCAGTTCCATTTCTTACCGTTCAAAGATCCGTAGTTAAAAAAACCATTTCACTGCTTTTTTCCAAAAATTCATATATTTGATTTCTTACATTTGTATTTCCAAATGATATTTCTTTTTTTAGTGCTTTATAAGAAGGCCGGTGGAAACCAGGATCAATTTGCAACATGAATCGGCAAAATCCTTCTCCATTAATGGTATCAAGTGGGAGATTATCGACGATAAGCCATTCTACAACAGCACGATGAATCTTAGTTTTTTTTATTCCTTTGTGAGGAGCGATATGTAACATATCGGCAATAGTTTTTTGGGAATTCAAAGCTTTCATATGATTCTAAAATTAATTAATTTTATTTTTAATTATATATTTTATAAATAAAAATATAAAATTTGATTTAACTTACCTTGTTTTCTCTTTGAAATTCTACTAAGTCATGTTCGTCAGCCAGATACAAATTCATATTAGATATTGACCATTCCGATAAGTACTTGAATGATTTTCTACAAATAGATTCTTCTTCATTTTTTTTTTGTATTTTAAATTGACATATTGTTTTTTTTTCGGTTTTTTTGAAATATTTCCAGCATTTTGAGGTTGTTTTAGTTGTTTTATGCCGCTTGTGCTTTTGCCGAGTACTTTGTTATGTATTTTGCTGAAAATTTGTCGAGTATTTCGCTAAGTACTTTGCCAAGTATTTTGCTGAATATTTTGTTGAGAATCTTGTTCATTTAGTCATTCAGTTATATGTAAAATTTCAGTTACACGTGAACTTTCACTTTCGCGTGAGCTTTCAGTTGCATGTAAACTTTCAGTTTGTAAAATCTCATCATACTTATTGTCTGACATTATTAACGTTTCAAAATGGAAACAAGCCAAATCACACTATTTATTTAAGTTTCACAATTTTCTACAACTTTCACCACCTTTACGTTCATTTTGTATAATATACATAATGCAATAATTTCTATCATGTAACAATAAACAACTAATGAATTTTTAGATTTATATACTTTTGATAATTGGTTAACCAATTAACCGGGTTTTAACCGGTTGAAACCGGTTAAACCAGTTGAACCGATTAAAAACTTTTCTCAACTGGTTCAACTGAATTTCTTTGGTTAAGGTCGGTTACCCGATTATGGTCTAATCGGTTCAAATTACTATATGTATCAATACAAATCTTTATTGATATAATGATATCTAAATATAATATCAAGTATCTTCTATATATTGAATCAATTTCAAATATATTCTTATGTTTAAAGATAGGTCCCTAAATTAAAGGTGAGGATATAATTCAAATGTTTCTTACTATTAAAAAAATTTTTTTTTAAATATAAAATTAAAAAAAAACTACCTATAAAGGTTTTTTGCAATTTAGGTCACTTGATTCAAATGTTTTTTAAATTATGTCCTTATTAAAATAATAAATAATTAATTATATCCCTTCAAAAGAGACATAATTGATCTGCAAAATTTTATATGCTAAATAATTTAGGGATCCATCTTTACTTATGTCTTCTATATATAGAATTAACATTGCTTATTGATTATTTTTAGTAATAGTTTACCTATTTACCTTAATTACCTAACTATATAAATTATATCATAAAAATATATCCATATGTTAGGTGAAATTAATCTAGAAATAAAAATCCTGCCACCAGTTTTAAACCTTCTAAACCTGTTAATTTAGTAGGATGGAGAGAACTTATATATCTTACAAAGATAATTAGAACACTTGAATATCTTGAATACTTTTTGCCTAATTTCTTAGAGAAGTTATTATACTCTTTATTATAATTAAAGATCCTAACGATTCTGTATTTGATTCTATTTGATTTCAGCTCTTATAGTAAATTTAATAGGTGGGTTATAACCCATTTATGTTTTTTTATATATATGTGAGTCCATATGAGTTTATGCAACTTTAATTTTTGGGACCATAATTATAATCTGTAGCTTTGGATTTCCTTTTTGATGTTCTTTTCTTTTAAACAAATGTCAGAATGAGATAGTTCTAAGCTAAAGTATTCTTTATACTATAGAGTTTGCTATACTAGAAGGGAATATAAGCTTATTATCAAAGTTAAATCAGAAATCTTTTCTTATATAACCTTTCTTACTTCAATATGTTTTCAGTCTATAATTGTCAGAAAGATCAAAGGTCCTATCTTCATGCAGTCTAACTAAATTTGATTAAGATTTAAATGTTTAAGTATAACATTTGTAGGAAAATTGATAAACTTATAGATGAAAAATAATTTTTGTATATATGCTCTTTATGGGTATTAAACTAGAGACATGCATTTGAAATCTGAGAGTATTATCCATTATACTATAGACCTACAGGTTTTTTTTTTTAAAAATATTTTTTTTGTTTATTTTTATAATTAAATATAAAAAATTTATTTAAAAAATCTATGGTAAAAATATTTTTTTAAAAAAAAACTAATAAAAAAATTTTTTTTCAAAAATTTCAAAAGATTTAAGAATTCAAAAAAAAAAAAAAAACAAGTCTTTAGTTTTTCTTTTATTTTTTTATTTGTTATTTTTTTTTTTTTTAAATATGTTTTCTTTTTTTTTTAAAAAAAGTTTTGCTATTTCAATTTAATCTTAAATTTTTTATTACATTAAATTTTTTAAAAGATAATTAATCAAAATTATAAATTAATTAATTATATTAATTATAAAAAAATAAACAAAATATATTCTTTATATTAAGTTAAATAGTTTTTAATTAAAAAAATATTATAAAAATATTAGATAAAATTAAAATTATAAATAGAAAAAAATAATATCTTTTTTATTTTATTTTATTTTATTTTATTTCTTTTTCTATTTTTTCTAAAGAATTGTAAATAACTATAAGATTCAAGTTATATTTTAATTATTAACAAGTTGAAATAATAACATTTATTCTAAAAATAATTAAAGAAAGAAATTTTGAAATTATTTATTAATTAAATAAAATAATAATTTTAGAAAATATAACTTGAAAAAGAAATTAACAATTAAGGTTTTTAATGATATTACTTCAATATTATTTTAATATTAATTCAATACTTAATTTACTATAAATTTATATAAATATATTATAATCTATATATTAAATTTACTATAAATTATTACTATTTTATTTGATACTTTTTAAAGCCTTATTAATAATAAAAACATATTTTTTTTAATTAAAAAACTTTAAGTATAAAGTTTTAAAAATTATTCTTTTAAAAATATTTTTAAATATTCTTAAATATTATTTTTTTTTTTTTTTTTTTTTTTTTTCAACTAGCTAGGCCTTGCCTAACGTGCTTTATTTAATTTACATGTGTATTTCTTTTACAAGAGTTACTATCTATAAACTATTCTAGATGCATATTAGGCTATATCGAATTTCT